TCCCTAGCTGCATGCGATTCGAAAGAAGCATGAGGGCTGAGATGCCTTCGTGCTGACCAAGCATAGACTGGAGCAGTGGAGATGCTGAATTCGAATCACGGACGTTCCGGTCAGTAAGTTCACACCCTAACTACTAAGCTACCTAGTGAAGAAACTTTGATCGTCCAGGTAGTAAAAAGGCTTGGGTGGAAAAGTACGCTGTGTGACTGTTCCATTCCCGTTGGGAATCATCAGCATCCGTGAAAAAGTTCATCAACCAAAACCCCATCAATCTAGCGGCTTCTCTGTGAAGTGACGCATCCTCTACCGGCCCAGTCATCATCATCATCATCATCACCATCATCATCATCAGCTGTAATAACCGCGTACTCGTCGTACAGTGGTTGTAGCTGCCGCAGTTTCGTTCACCGATGACTTGGGTGGGGAGGGGTTGGTAGCTGCGCATTGCAGGCGGGAGCTGATAAATTGGTTCATAAATCCAGCACTTTCAGTGGGCTGTCAAGTGAAGGGGGGTTGGAAAAGGAGCTATGCATTGAAGGCGATAGCTTGGATGCACGAACGCCACTGAGGGCGTGACTGGGCCATATCTGACAATGTCTCTAGCCATTGATGTGGCCCGTCTCGGGGTCCCCATCCAGGAAGACGGCAATGACCAGCGCAGCTGAGTTTGCTGGTAATGGCTTTCTTACTTCGCTGCCAAGTAATTGTTTGACCGCCTCTGGCTCTCTTCCACCCTTCACCTGGTTGTGCGAAAAGAGCCCTTCGAGGAATTCGGCCGACTGGCATACGCAGCACGTGGCCAAGCCAGCGCACCGATGTCCCTCCCCTACCGGCCCAGTGGCTTGGGCAACCCATATACAGGTTAGGTTCATTAGTTTACGCTAAAAATAATTTACTGGGTGCTAGGACGAACGCTACCAGGTCATGGAAGCCAGTGTCATACGATAAAAAAGCTAGTATAGCTTGGGCAACCTGGCAGTATCCCAGCCCCCGTGCTCCCTTCGTGTAGCATGGCAGCTAGGCACCGAAAGGTGTTACAGCTGAACGATTTTTTTCTTATCTTTCGATCTAGTTGTAAAGGACGAGTCCTAAAATTCTGTAGGAAACGGTGGACTGTCTTCCAGCGACGCGTATTTTTTATCATCGGTGGTCGGGGTGCCACGACAAGCCTGGCAGATGACAGTGTAGTTCAAGACATCTAGAACTATGTGCTCGGCCAGCGTTGTACAAATGGAGGCAGCTTGTTCGAGTTAGCAGATGTGAATCAACCTTATCTTACCTTAAAAAACGCTTCCAGCACCCAAAGGTAAATCCTCGTACTTAAACTAAGGTCACATGGAATATCGTCAATGAGAAACTGCCGAACCTAAAGAAGCGCCAAAGCAAGTAGTAAAGGCAGCGAATTCGCCTCGAAGAGACTGCAACCGCCAATGGGGTGATGTGGCTACACAGATGCAAACGGCCATTTTAAAATGAATGGAAGCTTTGTGAAATTCTAGCTAGGTTGATTCACTATGGGATAGTCTTTCATTCACCACCAAACCATCTCTTAACTGACAGTAATCGACTCATTACTTTGGACAGTGTAGAGGTGAGTGGAGCACTTTAATGTTACTCAGCTGCTCTTCCACGTGTTCATTAAACACGTGTCTGCAGCTACGGAACGCAATTCAATATGTGATATTCCCTCCAAAAAGGGGCAGATCCTGTCAAGAAGAGGAGGCAATCCCACCGCCGCTAGAAGAAATTCGGGCTGGTGGTCATACACTCCTTCTGCTGCTATTCTCCAAAAAGGGTGACTCAACAAAATGTAAGAGCTTCTGATGTATAAGTCTAATCAATGTGGCCACAGAACTTTCTACTACCTATTCGTCGAGGCAACAACTACCGCAGCAACCGTGCAATCGAATCAAGGTGGGCGTCCACCGTACACAAGCTTCATCAACCAAAACTGGACCTAAAGTTGCGTATACTAGAACACTACCACAAGTTAAGACAGCGTGCCGACATATGTCGTATTGACTTCTGCTCGTTGTTTGACTCGATAGATCCTGAGAGTCTTTGGAATTTTGTAACAGCAGACTCACGTCCGGTAATACTAATGAGCTTGATCAAAGCCTGCTGTGCCAGCCTGCACGTTTGTGTGTATAGAGAAGGATTGGGTAACTTCATTCTAACTGCTGAAGTTAAACAATGCTGTCGGCTACCAGAAGTTCTATTCAAATACGCAATCGACTAGACAATATTAGACTCATTTACCGGCGACCAGAGCTTGGAGGAATGGACGGCTCCGAAAATGCTCGCTGAGGTAAGTTGAAGAAACTATCACTCTCACGGACTACTTTATAACTATGCAACTGTTTCTCAACCGCATCACACACTTTATTCCACAAACTGGACTAAAAACCAATGATTCGGAAACCAGAACCCAACTAGCAGTTGTACGGTATCTTCGCAAATCATTCGACCCTTGAAAGATAAGCTGATGTCACCTCTAAGCCACAGGTGATACAAGTTCACTTGCCTACCTCGGGTTCACCATTTCCCAAACAGCGAAGCCGGAGTCGGGACCGCTTCTCAAATCAATCCCCCTGAAAGGCGTTTGCTCAGCCTACTGGTAGGTATAGTAAAATACGCAGAATTCGTATCAGAGATCGCACCCACGAGGTCACCGTCAGCCCAGTGCCTAAGTATGTTTCAAAATCATGGTCTTTCTGGACGTAATAGATAGGCAGAATAGAACAGTGTTGACTGGTCATGAAGCTCGAGTAGCGGGACAATATCCCAAGAGCGGAAATTCGTCGGCGATTTGACGGCATAAAGGAACTTTACTTCGCTATCCAAGGTTGACGACTAGTGGCTCTGGCTCATATTAGACACCCGATTCTGATGCGACCGAATAATTGCTAATACACCTGACGTCTGTTAAGATATCTATGGTTTTTAGCACTGGAATACAACGTGGTTATCACTCCGTATCAGATTTTTGCATTCAGTCACTAAGTACGCTTAGCTGCACTATGATATGTTCAAAAAACAGCTTACCCAAAAGAAGACACAACCGTTGCAAAGCAAATTAGAAAGGGTATTCACAACAGGGGTGAGACACTCGAGTTTTCATTTGCATGACAAAATTCTAATTTGGAACTAATATTGCCTCTTCATCGGGGTTGGGATTAGAGACAGTCAACAAATCCGGAAACAAGTTGATTTTTTATCGAATAAAAAAAGAATATTGAAAACTCAGTTGGGGTGAACTTGCCAACTCACCAAATACTTCACCGTTTGGGAGAAATTCCATGACCAAGCAAAGTAACCTGGGCGTTTCCATCACCTAAATTTTAGGACCGGTTGGCCGAGTAAGAAGATAACTCACTTGAAACAACCTGACAATGTTGGGATGGTGAAGTTTTTTCAGTATCTCCGATTCTCTGTAAATTTTTATCAAGTTTTCTGCGTCTAACCGGGTTTTGTCGATTAGCTTGATGGCTAACTGGAAGAAAATGCCACGATAATGAGTAGAGGGACCACCTACATTGATTCCAGTAATTGTGTGTGTAGCCAATTTAACCACGGAAAAGATACCCTTGCCGATTGTCTTGTCAATTTCATAGGTGCCTAATTTTGGTTTCCCAGTCATGCTGTGGCGGTAGTGTGGTTGATGTTGAGATATAGGTGAAGTCATTTTGGATCCGAACTGGCCACCACTCAAAGAACATGGTGGTAAGTTACAAATTTTGGAGTACGGGGTCGAATTCGGGACAGATAAAGTGGACGTATTCATTGGCTGTGAATAGACCATGATTGACAAGGGTGTGTGGACGAGCAGGGACACATAGGGAGGATCAAAAGCTTCATCGTGTACGAAGCGATTAACCTCGCATCTAACCTTATTCAACAATTACCTGCAAAACAATAGAAACGAGGTGAACTAAAAGATATCATCCAGGACATGATTGACAGTACGGGTGAGTAAACAAGTGTTAGAAGCCAATATCTCATCATCATCATCATCAATGACAGCAACATCAGTGTTGGCACTGATGCTTCACTGCCAATATCTCACTGAAGTATAGCGATAGTGCATGTACAAAAGGACAAACCCAGTTAACTATTGAGCCGCATACCGTTCAGTAAAGATTGAAAATGCTACAGAAGCAATTCCGAAAAACAGCGGTGTCCCGCCGCAGACTGTCTCCAATTCAGACTTTGCTGATCGCCTCAAATTCACATCGGGGGAAATTTCTTCGCTCTTGGATACCTCACCCGTGTATTCAGCGTTCCCACCAGACCCGTTCGGTGCTTCAAAGATATTGATATCGAAGCACTGAGTAGTTGAGAGTCATTTATCAGTTATGAACGATGTGTGGGTCGTGTAACACTTCCAACATCTGAATCAACTTATGGCTATAAATCGTTTACCATTGGCACACTGGTTCAAGCTGCTACAGCTTCCATTAGCGGAAAGTCGGAGAGTGTAGGAGATACGGCAAGTTTTGGAGGCGATGGCATACTTAGTTAGCTCTAGAACTGGGTAGCTACGCAGTGAGGCGATAGCATTGAAGCACAAGCGCCACTGACTGCGCGATTGCTGCCATTGTCATTAACCATTGGTGAGTTGAGTCTCGGGGTCCCCATCCAGGGAGGTGGCAGTTGTCGAACCGACTAAATTTACCGGTTAAGGGCCGAAGTTGTTAAAGCGCGAATTTACTGGCCGGAAGGTTCTTGGTTCGAACCCGACCTCTACCTCTCGACTCCCGCTGTCTAGGTTTAGGCAACCTGGCAGTATCCCGGCCCTCGTGCAACCTTCGGGTGGCGTGGCAGTTAGGCACCCAAAGGGTGCTACAGCTGAACGATTTTTTTCATACTTCGTTGCCAGGTCATACACTGTCCACCCGTCGGTCGTTTCCACTCAGCACTGGGATGGGCGAAAAAACTCTGCGAAGCAGACAGTCTTCTGGCATGCGGAGTACATGTCCTAACCAGTATAACCTATGGAGCGTGAGTAAACCATATATTACGGGAGAGCTCCTTCTTCCTAGGACAGTCTTGCATACGTCAGCATTGCTAAACCGATGTTCGCACAGAACCTGAGCAATGCTCGGGAGACACCGATGGTCAAACACAGACATCTTTCGTAAGTCCGCGCGCGTGGATGCCACGTTTCTTATCCGTAAAGCAGTATGGATCGCGACGCCACAGTGCAAACTGTCTTTGATAGACAAACTCACGTCAATTCGGCGCCATAGGTGTCAGAGGTTAGCAAAAGCTGCCCTAGTCTTTCCGATTGGAGAAATAATCTCATCTCCAGCCAGTCCACCGGAGCCTATACAGCTGTCCAGGTAAACAAATTCATCTACCACGTCGACTGGATCGCTTACAAGTATGAGGTGTGGGTTTGATCCCACCCAGTCGAGCACTTTACACTTTGCAGGTGTGAAGCACATGCCAAACCATGCGGCAGAGTTATTTAG